ACCGGTTCCTCTTGCGGGCCGGGGGCAGCAGCCGCCGCCGCCGCGGCTCTTCTCTCCAAACGTCGAAGCGTATCCGAATGCTCGCTCGGCACGGCCTCCTCCACCAGTTCCACGGCCAGCTCCAGGAACTCCGACAGGTCTGCGGGCAGTCCATCCGTCTCGGAGTCCGGTGAGTACTCTTTGTTTCGCCTTTTCACGATTCTGTACGGTGTGCATATCTTACTTCAAATCTACCTTCGCTAAAAACACGGATAGAGAAATGTGGATGACCACGTGGTAGGACCATGGATGAGTCCTAGAGTCTCGTGTGAAAATTGGAACTCATACCAATTTCGGAACATGGAAACTTTTGGATGAGACTTGGATGTAGATATTTGAGATCTAGAGATACAGGGACCATACTCGGACCCTCCTGCTAAATAATTTTCACGAGGAAGAAATTTTCCATAAAAGTTCTTATAACGAGTTTAGTATCGCAAGAAAAATTCATTAGAGTATTAAGCTCTTTTAACGACGAAGTTGGTATCTCCCCTGGGCTGAATGTTACACGTTTACAAAACGCGACTGGGGTAATCAGCGATAGCGTCGGTAAAATTTCACGGGGTGCAACCTATTTCCCGAAGGAAGTTGAATCCTTGCATATCAATATTTAATTTAACTTTATAATTAGTTGGTCCATCTGTTTGTTGAAGAACAACCCGAATGTCCCTTTGTGAAACATCTCCGAAACGAGATTCGTTCGAACAGTCGTATAAGTTTACAAATTTTTATGCAAATTGAACTTAATTGCCAAGAATTACGAACAGAATTGTGTACAATTTCCATGTCAAATTTAGCAAATTTCAGGAATGACAAAATCTTAGTAACTCGGCAATTTAAGGGCTGCAACAAAAATTATATAAAATTTCCAAATCAAAATTGAATTTCAAAAACGACAAAATCTTAGTAACTTGGCAACTTAACATTTTGAGGGTTGCAACAAAAATTATATAAAATTTCCAAATGAAATTTATTAAATTTCAAAAACGACAAAATCTGAGTAACTTGGCAACTTAACATTTTAAGGGTTGCAACAAAAATTATATAAAATTTCCAAATCAATTTTATTAAATTTTAAAAATGACAAAATCTTAGTAGCTCTGCAACTTAATATTTTAAGGGTTACAACAAAAATTATATAAAATTCCTAAGTCTTTACTGAACTTTGAAAGCCGCTAAATTTTCTAAAAGTGCTAAATCGAAGAACACGCTCCGCGCTTCAGAAAAAAGCGAACGGGCATCGAATCGAAGAAGGGTGCGAAACAATTCAAGCTGTAATTGGTAGAAACGAGAAGGCTTACTAGGCGTCGTCGTGAAAGGGTTGCAAACAGAAGGAAAAAAAAAACAGGAGAGAAAGAAGAAAAGCTCCGCGACATGGAACGAGGAAGCGTTTCAGCGGTGCTCGCTCGTTCGCTTATTTTTGCCGGGCTTCAATCCTTTCAGAGGCTTCGTTGCCGCCGAAAACAAGCAACGATGTATCACCGTAACGCGATTAACCCTCAAATTTTGCCGTAAAGGGATTAGAAGCAGGCACGAGCAACTGGCTTCGGACGCACACGTGCCGCCTTTTGGAGGCTAATGACATCGTAACCACCCATTGCAATTTTTCGTTCGTGACTGAATCACGCCATTTTTATTCTTCTGGATGCTGCGATTTACTCTACGGATATTCGTATCGAAATAATTTGTCTGTCAGGTTGGATTTTCTGCAGGGGATTTTTGAACTCTTAGCTTTTAGAATTTTGGGACTTGCGGATTTTAAGGAATTTTTAGATTTGGAGAATTTGGAGAAGTTATTTGAGGGCTGTAACTTTGGAACACTTTCGAATTTGAGGGACGAGTCTATGGGATTTTTGGAATTTGTAGATTTGGAAAATTTGGAGAACTTATTTAAGGGCTGTAACTTTGGAACACTTTCGAAGTTGAGGGATGAGGCTATGGGACTTTCGGAATTTTTAGCTTTGGAAAATTTGGAGGACTTTCTTATTTAAGGGTTGTAACTTTGGAACACTTTGGAATTTGAGGGATGAGTCTAGGATTTTTGGAATTTTTAGATTGGGAAAATTTCGAGGACTTATTTAAGGGGTGTAACTTTGGAACTCTTTCGAATTTGAGGAGTGAGTCTATGGGATTTTTGGAATTTTTAGATTTGGAAAATTTGAAGGACTTTCGTATTTAAGGGCTGTGACTTTGGAACACTTTCGAATTTGAGGGATGAGTCTATGGGATTTTTGGAATTTTTAGATTTGGAAAATTTGGAGGACTTTCGTATTTAAGGGCTGTGACTTTGGAACACTTTCAAAGTTGAGGGATTTTTGGAATTTTAAATTTGAAAAATTTGAAGAACTTTCTTATTTAGGGGTTGCAAAAATATTGGGACACTAGAATTTCCCTTCCTAGAAGATCTCTCGAGAGACCCAGAAATTAGCACTCCATTATAAATTTCTCTTCATCTTTCATGTATTCATTGCACCCTCAAAAAGGTGAACGAGAAATTTTTTGCACGAAACACTTCTGTGAAAAAAGTCCAATTTTTCATCGTTGTTTCACTTACGGTTCATCGATTTCGGTATCGGAATTTCCAAGAACTTTTCTGAAATGCTGAACAAAACAAAAAAGTGGTCGGTAAGGGGATGAGAGTCCGCGGGTAAAAACAGCGGGAAAACAGCGTTGATGCACGGGGTGACAAATGGATGATCAATAGCAGGCAAATTACGTGTACGGAGCATTGTTGACCGAATGAAGCACCGCGTGACAACGGGAGCAACGGGAGCAGCACGATAATCGATGAGTGCGTCGCGTTCGCCTTGCAAAATGAAAAGCCTTCGAAACGGGGACGCGATAAATCACTGTGTCGTCCAGCCTTAAAACTTAATTCAGCACCGTGGACTATCGTACCCCTCCATCGAAATAATGCCTTCTTTCTTCTGTAATCCATTCGCAAAAAATCTATGCGAAAATTTAATGACATACTCGGAAAAATTCTTAAAATATCTTCGAGTATCGCAAAAATTCTATAACTCTTTTTGATGATCGAATAAATTAAAAGAAACAGGGTGGAAAATAAAAAACATGGCTGTTGAAGCTGCTTTCGAAGGTTGATCCACGTAATTCTTAAAATATCGAGTATTGCAAAAATTCTACATATAACTCTTTTTGATGATTGAATAAATTTAAAAAAAAACAGGGTAGAAAATAAAAAACATGGTTGTCGATTCTACATTCGAAGGTTGATCCACGTAATTCTTTAAACATCTTCAACTATCGCAAAAATTCTACATATAACTCCTTTTGACGATTGAATAAATTAAAAAAAAAACAGGATAGGAAATAAAAAACATGGTTGTCGATTTTACATTCGAAGGTTGATCCACGTAATTCTTTAAACATCTTCAAATATCGCAAAAATTCTACATATAACTCTTTTTGATGATTGAATAAATAAAAAAAAACAGGGTAGGAAATAAAAAACATGGCTGTCGAGGCAGCGTTCGAAGGTTGATCCGTGCAAGAACTTTGACGAAATCTGGAGGAGCGGACATTTTTACGAGCGTTCAGCAGAATCGTTGCGTATTACCGCGAATTTCCCGCTGTCGAGAGGAAACTGGCTGAGTCAGCCCGTTAGCAAACTTCCGGGCTCGTTCTCTGTCGCTTATGAACTTGTAGGTAAGACGGGGCCGCGAAGTTGCAGGCCAACCGATAAAAACTTGCAAGCGACGACGTGCCAGCCTCGCGATCGGCCAAACAATCTCTCGTTTCTTTCCATTTCAATCACTCTTTCGTTCCTCGATACCAACTTTCTCGACCGTGCACGCGTATCTTTCCGAATCTCGTTCAAACTTCCGAGTTATCTAGCTGAAACAATAAATTGATCGATAAATTGACGCGCGTGTTCAAACAAGTCTATTGGACGGGTTTTTTGATTAATGCATGCTGATCGCGTGATACAATTTTTGTAAATTGGACATTTTTTGTTTGGGTACTTTTTTAAGTTGCGAGTTGGTGTATACTGATATCGCTTTATAGATTGATCTATGGGTCTTTGTATTGCTAGATCAGCAGGTTGCTGTACAATTATATCACTGTATATTCAGATTGCTGTGCTCTCAGGTCTTTGGATCTTCAGATTCCTACATCTCTAGGTTTTCATAGTCTTAGGTATTCCAAGGTTCCTACATCCACAGGTCTCTGTACTCCTACATTACTACATATTTAGATTGCTGTGCTCTCAGGTCTTTGGATCTTCAGATTCCTACATCTCTAGGTTTTCGTAGTCTTAGGTATTCTCAGGTTCCTACATCCACAGGTCTCTGTACTCTTACATCACTACATATTCAGATTGCTGTACTCTCAGGTCTTTGGATCTTCAGATTCCTACATTTCTAGGTTTTCGTAGTCTTAGGTATTCCAAGGTTCCTACATCCACAGGTCTCTGTACTCCTGCATCACTAAATATCCAGATTTCTGTACTGATAGATCTCTAAATCTTCAGATTCCTACATCATCAGGTTTCTACTTCTCTACATCACTATACATTCAGTTTGCTGTACTCTCAGGTCTTTGGATCTTCAGATTCCTACATCTCTAGGTTTTCATAGTCTTAGGTATTCCCAGGTTCCTACATCCACAGGTCTCTGTACCCCTACGTCATTAAATATCCAGATTTCTGTACTCCTACATCTCTAAATCTTTAGATTCCTACATCATCAGCTCTCTATTAATTCACATCACTATACAATCAGTTTGCTGTACTCTCAGATCTCTAGATGTTCAGATTTCTACGTCTCCAGACCCTCATACGCTTAGGTACTCCCAGACTTCTACATCCTCAGGTCCCTACTCCTCTACATCACTAAATATCCGCATTTCTATACTCCTATATCTCTAAACCTTCAAATTCCTACATCATCATCCCTCTACTTCTCTACATCACTATACATTCAGTTTGCTGTACCCTCAGATCTCTAGATGTTCAGATTTCTACGTCTTCAGACCCTCATACACTTAGGTACTCCCAGACTCCTACATCCTCAGGTCCCTACTCCTCTACATCACTAAATATCCAGATTTCTGAACTCCTAATCTCTAAATCTTCAAATTCCTACATCATCATCTCTCTACTTCTCTACA